AAATCCCATGCTGTTTGGTTGAAAAACAAGGGAGTTATAGCCATTTAAAGTTTAAGCCAATCAGATTGCAGCGCACGTGCATGCGCGTGATTTGATGAAAAATTTTATATATCATATTGTAGTACATCCTAATGCATGTCTATGTTATAAATTTCAAAGCATTTCATCATAAAACAAAAAAGATATTAAGATTTCTGTTTCAGCCAATCAGAGCAAAGCGCACGTGCATGCGCGTGAGTTCATGCAAATTTGACCATGTCATCTTATCTACACATCTTATATATCTTTATATAATGAGTTTCAAAACATTTTATCAAAAAATATAAAAGTTACAACCATATTAAATATATCAGTCATTTTACTCATTGCACGCGCCCGCACGTGCATGCGAATGCGCGCAAAATGACCTTCGTTCAGCACATCTACACAACATGCCTACTAACCCTAAAAAGGTTTTAACTTAGTTTGGTGAACAGTTTCTGAGAACACTTCCGGACAAAAAAGTACCGGAGAAGAAATAAGAAGAAAAAAGAATAATAATAATAATAACTAGTGCTAATTGTAACGGGAACCGTTACAGATGTTCCCCAAACGCTCCCCAACTCCCTTCTCGTGCCATATTCCCTGTAAGTTTCATTAAAGAAGGCAAAATCTATGCATTTAAGACGTAAATAACGTTTTCCCAAGAGTATACCAAGTATTTCAAATTTAAGCAATGCAGGCGTGCGCATGTGACTGCATGAGCGTAATGACGATATCATCTTGTCTGCACTATTTTACTCATTTGCACGTGCACGCACGTGCATGATGACCAAACCTTCTTGTAGGAGTCCATTATGTCTGTCTATGTTCTTAATCCCATCCTGTTTGGTTGAAAAACAAGGGAGTTATAGCCATTTAAAGTTTAAGCCAATCAGATTGCAGCGCACGTGCATGCGCGTATTTTCATGACAATTATTATATATCATATTGTAGGACATCTTAAAGTATGATTATGTTTTAAATTTCAAAGCATTTTGTAAAAAAACAGAAAAGATGTTGAGATTTTTGTTTCAGCCAATCAGAGCAAAGCGCACGTGCACGCACGTGCATGCATGTGAATGGTGACCATACCATACTGTAGGAGTCCTTTATGTCTATCTATGTTGTAAATCCCATGCTGTTTGGTTGAAAACCAAGGGAGTTATACTCATTTAAAGTTTCAGCCAATCAGATTGCAGCGCACGCGCATGCGCGTGATTTCATTAAAAATTTTATATATCATATTGTAGTACATCCTAATGCATGTCTATGTTATAAATTTCAAAGCATTTCATCATAAAACAAAAAAGATATTGAGATTTCTGTTTCAGCCAATCAGAGCAAAGCGCACGTGCATGCGCGTGAGTTCATGCAAATTTGACCATGTCATCTTATCTAAACAACTTATATATCTTTATATAATGAGTTTCAAAACATTTTATCAAAAAATATAAAAGTTACAACCATATTAAATATATCAGTCATTTTACTCATTGCACGCGCCCGCACGTGCATGCGTATGCGCGCAAAATGACCTTCGTTCGGCACATCTACACAACATGCCTACTAACCCTAAAAAGGTTTTAACTTAGTTTGGTGAACAGTTTCTGAGAACACTTCCGGACAAAAAAGTACCGGAGAAGAAATAAGAAGAAAAAAGAATAATAATAATAATAACTAGTGCTAATTGTAACGGGAACCGTTACAGATGTTCCCCAAACGCTTCCCAACTCCCTTTTGGTGCCATATTCCCTGTAAACCTTGTTAAATAAAACAACATCTGAGCATTTTTTACTTTAACAACGTTTTCCCAAAAGGATACCAATTATATTCAAATTTTAACACTGCACGCGTGCCCATGTGAATGCACGTGCGTAATGATCATATAATCTTGTCTACACTTTCTATATATTTAAATATACTTTATATTAAAGTATTTAGTCCAAAAGTATTAAAAATCATTCATTCAAGTGTATTTTTAATTTCACTCGTTCCAAATGCACGCACGTGCGTGCACATGCATGATGACCATACCTTCTTCTAGGAGGCCCTTATATCAATCTATGTTCTAAATCCCATCCTGTTTGGTTCAAAACCAAAGGAATTATAGCCATTTCAAGTTTCATCCAATCAGATTGCAGCACACGTGTATCCACGTGATTTCAAGATTTTTTTTCTAAATCATATTGTAGAATATCCTAATGCATGACTATGTTTTAAATTTTAAAGCATTTCGTCAAAAAACAAAGGAGATATAGCCATTTAATGTTTCAGCCAATCAGATTGCAGCACACGTGCATGCGCGTGATTTCTTGAAATTTTTGGTATATCATATTGCAGGATATCCTAATGCATGACTATGTTTTAAATTTCAAAGCATTTCGTCAAAAAACAAAGGAAATATAGCCATTTAAAGTTTCAGCCAATCAGATTGCAGCACACGTGCATGCGCGTGATTTCATGAAATTTTTCCACATTATATTGTAGGATATCCTAATTCATGACAATGTTTAAAATTTCAAAGCATTTCGTCGAAAAACAAAAGAGATATTGACATTTTTGTTTCAGCCAATCAGAGCAAAGCGCACGTGCATGCGCGTGAGTTCGTGCTAATTTGACAGTGTCATTTTATTAACACTATTAATATATCCTTACGTAATGAGTTTCAAAGCATTTCATCAAGAAATGTAAAAGTTATAGCTATATTAAGTATATCAGTCAATTCACTCATTTCACGCGCACGCACGTGCAGGCGTATGCGCGCAAAATGACCTTCGTTCCGCACACCTACACTACACACCTATTAACCCTAAAAAGGTTTTAGCTCAGTTGGGCGAACAGTTTCTGAGAACACTCGCGGACAAAAAAGTACCGGAGAACAAATAAGAAAAAAAACTAGAGGAGATCTCGTTGCAAGCAACGAGTAGGTCTTCCGTTCGATTTTTGATACGATCATAAAACAACTTAAAATGAAAAAAAAAGTTCATATAAATTCCTCTAAATACGTGAGAACACATTTAAGAGTGAAATCTGTAAATTATAGACAACTTCCGGTCTTTATAATTCACTTCCGGTGTGACAGGAAGTACTAAAAATGACCTATAACTCCTCTCTGAGTGTGAAGGAATCATCCCTGATAATTTCGATGAAAAATGCTCATTTTTTGGACTACTTCCGGTTTTGAAAAAATAACTTCCGGTGGACATAATAATACTCGAGACACTCTATTTGCCTATATAAGAAACATTTAAAAAAGAAAAAAATAAAATTTTGCATATTTTTAAACTACTTCCGGTGGACAACGGACGTGACGGCAACAAAAACTTTATACAAAATTCAAGAGGGCCTGTCACAATCTATCATCCCTGAAAGTTTCAAGACTCAATCTCAAACCGTTTTTGAGAACACTTCCGGACAAAATGACATTTTAAAAAAAGAAAATTGGCCGTATCTCGCGACCGGAAGTGACGACGGCAAAATAAAAAAAAACGCCCTAAGTTCATATGATTTGCCATCATTGCTGAAAGTTTCATAAAGATCTGTCGAGGCGTTCTCGAGAAATCGCCTGCACAAAATCGGTAAGAAAAAAAATAATAATAATAATAATAGTGGAAAAGAAACAAACGAATCAGTAGAAGGTCTTCCGTTGGAAACGGAAGACCTTAATAATAATAATAATAATAATAAGAAACAGAGTAAAAACAATATGTTCCCCAACTTCGTTTGGGGAACATAATAATAATAATAATAATAAGAAACAGAGTAAAAACAATATGTTCCCCAACTTCGTTTGGGGAACATAATAAGAAACAGAGTAAAAACAATATGTTCCCCAACTTCGTTTGGGGAACATAATAATAAGAAACCGAGTAAAAACAATATGTTCCCAAACTCCGTTTGGGGAACATAATAAGGGTCTTCTTGAGGCCAGTGGGAACTACGATACAGAATTTCATTGCATAAGTTAAAACACTTTTTGATTCTTTTCTTGTCACAAAATGGCATTGCTCTGCGAAAAAAAAATATATTACCAGACCGAAAAATGGGTGGCTCTCTAGCGCTCTGGTCGTTCTCGAGACATGAAGTGCCTCTGGCGTCATTGGGTTAATGAGATCTATATACAAAGAGGAACAACTCTTGTAAATCTTTGTCTTGCATACGTACCGATATTTAGTGGATGTAAGGATACTGTGATTTAAAAAATGTGAATAAAGGAAAGAATATTACATTGTGTCTCACAAGTTTACAGATCTTGATCCAAAAGTTCCCTCATGGTCCTGTCTGTGTGCTGAATGATCAATAAACTTAAAAAAGAATTCGTGGATTTCCTTTAAAATCCAAGACCTATAGGAAGTAAAATTATTGTTCCAATACCTTTCCTGCATATTTAACATCGTCCGATCCAATTTTCAATTTTCCTCAGATCGATGAGCTTTAGACAACGCACTTATTCAAACTCCCACCACTGAATTCCGTGTTACTGTACATCTCATTTCATCAAACAAGAAAGAATTTTTATCAGTAATACAGGCACGTATTATGAGGAAGGGGAGGGGGGTTGGTCACCCACTCCTCCTCCTCTCCCCCCCCCCCTTCCCCAAGACATAAGACTCTCGAGTTTGGACAAGTTTCCTTGTTTCCTTTTTTTGGTTGTCAGTTTTGTTTTCAGGTGAGTTTTCTCCCCCCCCCCCCCCTTTCAAAAACAAAGCAACACCATTGAAAAAATACTGGAAGAATAGATGAATAGATAAGAACCTCCATTTATTTCATGAATATTTCTAACCCCCTCCCCCTTTTCTGTCAAGTTTATGAAGAATCAGTAGCCCCCCACCCCCAAGTGTTCCGCAAATCCCTGACATAGTTCCCCAAGAACATATAATAATCATCTCTGTACATGTAGTTACCAAACACTTTTCCAAACTGTACATTTGCTTAACCTAATTTTGTAGGAAAAATATACTGTATGAACAAAAACAGAATTTTGTTTTGTTAGAAATTTATTTTGTTCCATACAAACTTACAAAAACAAAACTATTGATGACAGATCAAAATACAAAAAAAATGTATTAAAAGTTATTCAAACTGCTTTAAATATCCCACCCAGGGACTTTAAAACTTTCTATGTAACCCAACCATTTTAACAAATTTGTCTTTAGATACAGTATGTGTAAATACAAACCAATAATGAAATTTTTGCATATCTATCTTACATTATCTTTTTTATCTTTTAAATCATACAGCCTTCATTTATGTCCAAAAAGCTCGTACAGGTACAATTATGCCAGTGATCTCTTATCCCCCTCCCCTTTTAGGCATCAGATAGGGATAAAATCAAACTAAATTTTGTGAACATTTTGTACATTTGTGATTAAAATGATGCATTTTGATGAATCCTAACTAAATACACCTCCAGGTCAACTTGAGTGTGTACATAACATACCCTAAGACATTGAGATCTTGATAACTGAGTCAGCTGACGGCCTTCACAATTGTTTTTATCACACTTATCACATTGCACTGAACACTAGGACTGTAGGACTAGAGGTTACTGGGGTAGCTGGGGGGCCAGGCGGGATATGATGGCTATCGCCTTCAGACACGCCCCCCTGATGACCCCCGGACAGTTAGGCATGGCCGTAAAGTGTTCCACCGTCATCCTCATCTCAGTAAATAGTGTCCTGTCATAAAACATTCATATATTATTCATCAATGCTTGTTCTGCAATGAACTTGTATAAGTTGATATGCATCAGGATCAGAATGCCTACAAGACATACAGCTGAATGAGCTACTTTTCTTAACTCCATGAGTTTCATTTTTTTTATTTGCTGAAAAGTTATGAAATGGAAATGTTCCTGACTGCATGTGGAATCCATGTCTCAACTTCACAGGCTCAAATCCTTAGATATCTCTGTCATTTGATTTGACAGTCCTTCTATATTCAAGATATTGTATTTTGACATTACTTGATTGGATGTTAGACTTACCTGCAGTATGGATTTCTTCTTGAGGAATATCGTAAGGATAAAAATCTGTAGTATATAATGGGCAGGAAAAAACTGCACTTTCCACTGAAAGTAAAAAAGGTTCCTTTATTCTTGTAATTAAAATTAGTTTCCATTTTTTAAATTTAGCATTACATGTGTTATACTTATTTATGATATTACATATATTCTACCAACTAATTCCAATCCAATTAATTGTGCTCAATTTTGAAAGTGTCCAAAATCAGTGAGTTTTGTTTAGGACCCTAGTCCTTTTACAGTTAAATGAGCACATACACAAACATCATGAAGATGATAGCCGGCATGATGAAGATCTCTGTACAGGCAATAAACCGCAGGATATTTGTCTGCTGGACCTGGAGTTTCTCAATTAATTTACGAATGAACTGCATCGACTCTGGTCCCATCACCTACAAAACAAACCTTCTATATATCAATATAATCTCAAATGTTATCAGACCTGCCTACCCTTTTCATTGCAAGGGTGTAATTTCAGTACATTTTTGGTGGAATTTCAGAGGCAAAAGCGTAATCAATCATGTTTTCTTATTTTGTTGTTTACTGTAACACTTTATTTTCTTTCAAAACAACGGAATTTGTACATTAATAAGCTGCCATAAACCTTTCTTTTTCGAGTTTCTATTGGCAAAAATGTTGTAAAATACCAGTATCCCATATCAAACTTAATTCAACCGTACACCCTAAATGAAGCATTTGGTCAATTTGTATCACATCACTTAATTGAAGGCTCACGTTTGCATGTTTACACAAGTCGCACACTATAATATTGTATTTTACACATGTATTTTTTACACTCACATTTCTCTATCTTGTTCTAAGCAATGTTAAAATAAACTTAATTGAGCATAGAAATGGCTGTACTTATTGCAATATCATGTAATAGTTAACGTAAGTAGTACCTTTTCATCTTCTTCCGAATCTTAGCAATACCAGTTTATATGTCACTACTAGGTACTGGTATATTACGTACTTTATCGAACCGGTCCTTTATTAATTACTTTTAGTAGAATCTCTCATTTCATTTCAACAGGTTGTACTTAAATTCTAAATTTAGACGTTCAATATGGATTTTAAAACAAAATATCAAAAGCGTAAAATTAATATAAGTGGCGTAATAGCGTAATTTTGTGGTAAATTGCGGAAGGGTAGGCAGGTCTGTTTTATTTCAATCCGTAACAGAATTTTTACAAATTTTGTATTTGATAAGACTTCTCTGGAAGTACTTACATTGAGGACATTTTTGGTGTAGTTACAGGCATGAAGGAGTGCGAACAGAAAAACAGGAATGACAGCCACTGGTCACTGTTAAGGTCAACTTCATTGAAACAACCAAACAATCATTACATTTAATCAACTAGAAATACAATTTACCTATTGACTCTTTTAAAGGTATAGGTAAGAAATTCTTCACAAAGTTGGCCTGACAGAATGTTTGAAAATAAATAAGTTTTCCAAATGTTTCAAAGGATACTTGTAATTGGGTAACCATTCATGAAAATTAAAGAGAACATCAAATAGTGACAACTGTCTTCTAGGAATAAAAGGGCAAAAAACTCTCGACTGAATTGGAAGTTTGGCAGTCGTTGATGTAGCCGCAGGGCACTGGTGGCTGCATTGCTAATCAGGGCTCTCTGGTAAAATCCATAAGGATTCCCTCTAAAACAAAAAAAAATTGAGTGTGTAAGAAGCATCTGTAATTCCTACCCAATAAAATCCTTAAATATAAATTAGAAGTAAATACACAAGCAATGTGTGATACAAATACTTTTTATACTTACCCAAGGATTGGAAAGATGAAAAGAAAACTACAAACTACTGTAAAAATTCGGGTCAGCCATAGAGCAGCTTCAATTTTGTTGGTTAGCATGTAATTCTGCAATAAAAGAATATTTTATAATTCTTTCTCAACATCACTCTTTTCTTCTTTATTTAGTCATCAAATGTCAACAGTGATGCATACCATTTTTTTAATATTAAATTATTATTATCCCTGTCAATAGCAAGGCTAAGATTGAATATCCTTAACAACTATTAAATTGTGTTTTTGTTGTACATGTAATAGCTTCTTTAGTGAGTATTTTAAAATCACAAAAAAAATTACTTCTCGCTAAAAATAAAATACAGATTTTTAGGGACAATTTGCTTAATTAGCGTCTCATTAAAATTTCCACATAAACGGTATATGTGTTTTGTAGGAAGTTCTATGATTTTAATTTTATAAAAATCTTAAAAACATATTTCCTTTCATCAAAAAATTTAATGTGGCTTAAATTAAAACAAAAGATTTTCAGGAATAAATTTAATTTTGTGTCTGAAAATTTGAAGACTTACTAGTACAGTGGTTTGCTGCTGGGTACCTGCACCGCCCTGACTGTTACCACTTGTGCCATCCCCAGTGTTTGAGTCCCCACCAGCACTATTATCACTCATTCTGTTATAGTTACTAGATAAAACATCAAACAACATTAACAAATGTAAGAGCTGCAGATAGGCAGGCATTTATTGAAAGAATCAGTCTTATTTTTTTGGGTATTCCAGGGCATCAATGATGACACAAGATAATTTGCACAACCTGCAAAGGGGTCCCATATTTTCAATTTCATTTCAAATACTTTATAAGTTTATCATTTAAAAAATAAATGATTTATAATGAGGCTTGTTTTTATTTAATAATCAAAAATGTCTCTCAGCCCATTCATGCCAATCATGGTAGCTTTTGTAAGGCAAATTAATAACATTTGGGGAGTTTTTGTTGAAAGATAATTAAACGGTATTTTTTTTAATGCTTTCTTAAGTTTTAAGGGGATGAAGGACCTTTAGCTGAAAAAGTACCTGTCGTTCAATTTTTTTCATATTTTGCATATCTCTAATTTAGTATGTCCCACATACCTTAAAGCAGATATATCAATAGGTTTCTAGACTTATTTTTAAGATATTGAGTGACAAATGTGAAACTCTACAGTGTCCAAGCGAAGTTTGGATTCTCCATGTTTCTGGGCTATTTACTCGGTCGATCATTGAATTCTTTCAGCATAGATAAAAAATATGTCAGCGAAAATGTGTCTTTTAAAATACTTCAGAGTAGACAACTTAAACAACAAAAAAATTAATTTGCAAAAATTCCTATCATTCAATATTTGAAAATTTACGTCAAAATCCAAGTTCGTGATGTTATTGATTAACTGCAAAAATATCGATTGGTGAAGCTGAGCTCAATATTGCACAGGGCATAGTTAAACAAGACATGAGCATGAGAAAAACGTGTCATGTTTACATTTCTCGAGTACGGGAAAACCCTACTATGACGTCACACATTTGCATTGCAAAATAAGCGAAGTAAGACATAACTAGCTACAAAATATTTCCGTCATCAACCATGTAAAATATTTTTTGTGTTCTGTAATTCATAAAATATCCCACCATAAAATATCCCACCACGTACTGCGGGGCCCTAATAACGAAAACAGAGGTTGAAGCAAGGAAGGGGTAAAAAAAAAAAAAAAGAGGCAAAATGGCGTCCCCTCATGTTGTTTTATTACTGTACATGATTTTTTTTTTTTAAATGATTACATGCCGGAAGCAAGCTCCTGTGGTTTGACTTATCCTGGCCATTAAGGATATTTGCTATATTATAAAATCAATTGATTCCTCGGCTGTTCGGAGATCTACCCCACACAGGTCACTCAGTCAGACTTAGCCTCAGTGACAGTTACAGTCTGAGTGATTCTGACAGTTTATATTAATCAATTTAATATTTTATTTATTTTCCCTAAGAACCGGCTACCGGCCAAATTAACCGCTTCAATTGACAAAAATGCCGATTTGAAATAAAAATTTGTTGTAAGGTCCACCGAGATTTTGTTCATAAACGGTAAAACCTCAACTCAGAGCCGGTTACAACCGATCTCTAACCCTTAAGTTTGAAATAAAGGGAAAACTCTTAGGTCATAATATAAAAGCGGGGGTTAAAGTCAGAGGAATCTCGGATTACAAGTAGGATATTATCACACTGGGTTGTTCAAACTTCAAATCACATTATAAAGGATACGATGCAATTTTCAGGTTTTCATTCATCTTACCTCCTTTATGTAATCTCTTATTCTGAATTTAAAGAATGAAATCGAAGTTTTTCTTTCTATGTAAGGCAAATTTTGTGAAATTCAAACTCGGTTTGAGATGATTCTGCAAACGGATATAATTTATTTTTTGTTTCAATTAATGAAGAGTTCCACTTCCGTTAACGACATCCGAACGAGTTGTCTTTCTTATAACATTGAATAAAGAGCTTCAACATCTGAACGAGTTGTCTTTCTTAGGCCTATAACGTAGAATAAAGAGCTTCAACATGTTCAATGAGCTTTGGAAAATTTTTGATAAAATATTTTTCTTTAAAATGATTTTGATAAAAGACACAAAATAAAAAGAAAAAATGTAACATTCTTATCACATATATCAGACCACAGGCACCAAACTCGCTTGAATTTTTGACCCCCTTGTTTATCATAAAGATTATAATACACTAGGGGTCAAAAAGCGAGTTTGGTGCCTGTGTATCAGACCGTGTGACAGTTTGTTTTGTTCTTTTTTTCCTGTTCAAAGGATTCATTATATTATATGTACTACTGATTAATTATTCTAAAAATTAAATGTGTAGGGGACATTTTATTGCCATGCCACAGGTTAAATCTTTCAAAGTTGGTCAAATTCTAAGAGTATGCCAAACTCTAAAGTCGAGGTCAATAGGTCAAAATTATTAATAGCCTGAGAAAAAGCACGTGAAATATTAAAGTACTAACACGGATTAGCAAAGGTTCAAGTTTTTCATGAGTAGATCAGTCTCCAAGGTCAATATCACAATTGTTGGTATTTAAGGTATATCGCGGGTTTGCTGACGTCACAATAGGATTCGACGTAAAAAGCTTACTACGTTTACAGTATCAAACTATTAACAAGCAAAAACTATTTCCATCAGTATGCATCGTAAATAAGACAAAAATTAAAGCTTGTTTTGTCTGTAAAGATATTTATTCATATGTAATAAAAATAAAGGATTAATCAATACTAAATTAGATTAAGAGTTAACATAAAGTTAAAATATGAAAGGTCAAAATTGATTCACATGACTGTGTTTCATTGAAAAAAGTGTGACAATTTAGGTATATTATGACAATGTTTACATGAACATTTATTGTCGATCATTTAAAAATTGAAAATGTGGATAAAACATGTTCTATTTTCAGTGGATTGTTGACTGCATTGTGATTCTGAGACGTACGAAAATAATGACGTCGCCGACGTCGCACTAACGTTATGAAACGTCTTAATGAAATTATATACGTTTGTTACAAATTTGTAAAACTTTATAAAGTTTTTTTTGCGAGAAAACGAGCGAGAACACATATTAATTTTTTTAAATAGATCGATTCTAAATTTATCTCACGTTCATTGTGTTGAGTAATATAAAATTCGTCTGCGCCGTTTTCAGGCACATAGTATCAGGGGGGGGGGGGGGGGGGGGCGGGGGGGCCCCCCCCCCCCCCCCACTTTTTCTCCCGACATTACCTTTACTATAGAAAATGTTTACTGAAAGGAAGGTTGGCCCCCCCACATTTCAGCAGAGTGTAGTGTTAGAAAGAAAATTTACCCGAAAAAGTTTTTATTTAAAGATAGTTGGTACCCCCCCCCCCCCCCCCCACGAAATAGGATTTTCGACTTTGGGCAACTTTTAATTTTTTTTTTTTTTTTTTTTTTTTGCTTGTCAACTTTTTCAGGTAAGTAAAAAAAAAAAAATTCTCAGGTTGGCCCCCCCCCCACTTTCAAAAACGATGCTACGTGCCTGGTTTTCATATTATAAGTATGGTTTTGAAATGCGTTTACCGGTGAGCAAGGCGCATTTACTATATAATTCATTGTGATAGCGTCACCAGTTCTCATCAACATTAGTGCCTTTGAAATACGATAACAATATAGCCACGCAGACGAATCTCACAAAAATTTCAGAAAGTAAAATTTGAAGCAAGAGGATTCATTTGACAAATTTTCAGATTAAGTTTTCAGGCAGACAGTAAACCCGCGATCTACCTTAAGGTAGGATTCCTCTCTGGTTTCTGACTAGATGAAACATTCAAAGTATATTTGCTTATATGTCTTATATATTGAGGTGTAAGGAATTTAAAAGACTATATTTTTCTTTCCTCATCACAATTGTACAACTTTAAATAGAAATGGTAAACTGCGTTTGAAAACTAGCAGGGACTATATTTTTGGCGGAATGGTGGCGTATGAAAATGTCTTCTTTTCTGCCTCTCAAAATTATAATAGAACAATGAATTTAGTTATAATTTGTACACAATCGAAGACTTGGAGAAATTTTCAAATCGATTTCCCGCACTCGCGTTTTATCATGCATACGTCTAATTCAACGACGTCCTGTGCGATATTGAGGTAAGCTTCACCCTTCGATATTTATACAGTTAATAATTACGATGAAGGACTGACATTCAATCGTAAATTTAGTAATATTTATTGACAGAATTTTTTTTTCTCCAAAATGAGGTTTTTGTTGTTGAAGCTGCCTTGAAAAGTTAAGAAATTATCCCACCCAAATACTATCTGAAATTAAAACAAATGCTTTCAGATAATTTAAACACTATGAATATTCTAAAATATTTGAGTATATAGTGTTATCAAACATATTTATTATTTGTGCGCAAAAATTCGCATTATGGACTCTGTAACGGACCCGTAAACATGAAGTATCGAAACTCCATACAAACACTATACAGGGCGATATTTGTGAGGCGATATCTTTTAAATTAGTCAAGAAATCTCATGACAGGACCGGTTTAAAACGTTAAGTACATATTAAATTAATACTATAAAAAATACGAAAACAATTCATTAACAGGAATTTTTTTAGCTCAAGGTCCTGTTCCCCCTTAAAGAAAGCTCTTGTCACAAGGAATACTCCTGCGAAACATGAAGGCCCCAACTGTTCTAAAGTTCTGTCCAATATTTGAATTTTTAAAAAGTGGGTCAAACTCAAAGTTCACGGTCAAGAGTCAAACATAGTTTTACCAATGGCAACGAATATACAAGTGAATTAAAAAATCCCTTGCATAAACTGTTCAAAGAGATCAAGGTCACATGTTCAAAACCATAGTATTTTTGGGATGGTATTATCATAGGTAATGCATAAAATAAAAAAAAGCCCTATCTCTTCTCATTCAAAAGTTATGGCTAAGGTTACTTTTTGTGACAGACGCCGGACAGATTTAATGTCCCGGCCTCGCTTTCACGAAAGCTGGGGAAAACTAACAGGTACTTGTGGACAGCCCCCCCCCCCCCCCCCCCATACACCCCTGGTCAAAATATATTTTTTTCTTTTTTTCTCATGAATTGTTTCTAGTAATCATTTACAATGTATTCCATATATAAAATTAAAAAAATATAACACTGAGATTTAACGATTTACTAAAAATAAGTCACCCCCCTAGGCCTGGTATTATAAAATACTCTATTTTATAATACAAGGGGTATGACTTTTTTTTTGAGTAATTCGTTAAATCTGTTATTTTTTGGATTTATCATATAGAATACATTGTAAATGATTACTAGAAGCATAATTCATGAGGGGGGAAAAAGGGAAAAAAAAATCTGACCAGGGCTGTATATGGGGGGGGGGGGTCCTGTCCACAAGTACCTGTGCGGACAACTAAGATAAACTATCAAAATATAAACGACAAAACCGTCGTCAGATACATGTACTTATGCATGGGCAATTGCAAAAAGCTGATATGAATGATACATGTATCATAAACTGGGTAATATCACCAACAAGGTGAAGGTATGCCCAATCCACCGCCACTTTTTAAGGGCGGCTAATTGCTGAGTGATTGGGTTTCAGTTTGTTGCTTTCGACAGGTTCTTGTTGGTTATCTTTTCCGATCACCTGATTTTAGTACACGTTTGTGACGCAGACATCTGTTTGCAAAGGTTAGTACAGTGTAGTTTGGAGGTGGTATTGGTGACTCCCCATGTATCTTGCGTGTAAACAGTGCTGTAGAACTCCACACAAGCTTGAGGGTGATAAAGATTTGTCTCGGTATATTAATTCTTGCTTTTATGTCTTAACCTGTTACACCGGTGGTTGTGATGATGCCGCCCAAGTTTGTAAAGGAGTATACACCTTACAGGTCATGTTCTCCAAGCGTGATTGGTGTTTACATTTTGTTGTGGAGTCGCATCACCTCCGTCTTGTCAAGATTGAACTGTACACCTGTATTTGCTGCTTCCTTTTGCAAGCCTACTTGTTTTCAGTACCATATGCTCATATTTCTTTTTTGTTTGTATGTTGTTTAATTAATGTCCCTCTCGAGAATTTTTCACTCGTATGGAGAAGCCATCGCTTCTTGGTAAAGAGCTGCAAATTTTGTCCTATGCTCGGCACTTACGGTCATTGAGTGGTAAGGGATCTTTTTTTTCGTGCCAGCACCTACTGCGACACAGGACCTCGGTTGATCAACACGGTCTCATCCAAAAGACCGGTCTCCACATCCCACGACGTAAGGATCATCTCCTTCCTTCACGTCTCTAGAGCAGACACTCTAACCACTGCGCCAAGCAGGCGACATAGACAGACAACAAAGTCTAGATCTTTCAGACACTGATTCAAAGCCCACTGGACTCCCGTATCGCCATCTCTTGTAGTTTCTCGCACGATCCAGTCCACTATCTTTAGGACAATCATTGGTGACAGTAGACAGCCTTGTCTTGCCCTTGTCTGCACCTCAAAGGCTTCTGTAAGCTTTCCATTGTGGATGACTTGGCATGTTGCCTCGTCATACAATTGTCGTATGAGGTTGATAAAGGTAGGGAGCGTTCCATAATGCTGGAGTAGTTTTCAATTGACTTTTTTATCAATACTATCAAAGGCCTTTTCAAAATCGATGATTGATTGATTGAAGTGCAGATATAGTGTTGATTGTCACTCTAGTGACTGTTCGTTTATTATATATGTGTTGCCCGCGTGGCGCAGTTGTTAGAGCATCTCTTCAAGAATTGTAAAGTAAGAAGTGGATCCTTACGTTGGGAGTTCGAATCCCTATATGGGACGCGGAGACCGGTTCTTCAGATGAGACCGTGTAAACCGAGGCCCCGTTTCGCAGTATGTGCTGGCACGAAAAAGACCCCTCACTGCTCAATGGCCCTAAGTGTAGAGTACAA